TAACAGGTTTTCCAATGGTTCTCTAAACAATGATGTCAGCTCATGACGTAATCCTGTAACCAGTAAATTACTTAATTTTTTGAGACAGCTTTTAACGTGTAAATATTCAACTGGGTGTTGATCACTTGAAAGTTAAACTAGAGTATTAGAATAAATATGTACTCAGAAAATATTGATTTGAATAATGGAAGTGTAAGTATCAAAATATTTAATGTGATGAGTGAACCTTAAAACAGAAGATTACTTTTCACTTGAATTAGTTGTGTATACGCAAAATAATGATGTAAAGAATATACAACAGTTAAGATAACTGTGACAGATAAATGACAGCAATTCTGTTAAACTACTGAGACAGTAATGGTAAGGAGTATTAGGTAAGTATCAGGTAAGTGTGGGAATCAACCTACTACATAGTAAAGATGGTTTATCTTATTTGACTGACTAAAGAGTGAACAGGAATCAGCTAACGCATCTCTTTCGATTTTCTAAATAAAGTATTTTCATAAGTTTTCAACTTGTGTAGATTAGATTCCGAGGATAGATGAAGACCATAGAAGAATAGAGAGTTGTTTTAACCTGCTTTGCAATTCTTCAGTACTTTTCAGTTTAAATGGGAATATTTTCAGTAGTTTTTAATATTATTTGTTTACTTTTACGAGTTTGACCATGGATTGATATCAGTTAGAAAACCATTGAAAACCAGCACTGGAGTGCTGGATAGCTGTCTCATCCTAGTACTCTGGACTCATCGGCAATACGCACCCACCATTAGGGTTCGAACCCACGACTTTCCGGTTACAATGCAAGCTGGCTCGTATACCATTCAGCTACTGGGACCCGATTCAGTAGCCAGCACAGGAATTCTAACTTTTACCAATTCGTGATTAGGCGCGACCACCAATCAATATCATCGGTGGGACATCCATCCTCACACAGTTGACCGGATGGAACTCACTGGTCACGACTTCTCACTAGAACTCCAGGAAACTCCGTCCTGTAACCATAAGGTCCTGGGTCCGGAACCCAGTGCGTGCATACTGCCGATGATTCCCAAATTAGGCTGAAGAAACAGCTGTCTAGTACTCCTGTGCTGGTTTTCAATGGTTCTCTAACTGATATCAACCCGTGGTCAAATTCGTAAAAGCAAATGTAATCCTTACAAACCAACTCTTGAAAATTATTCGTTTATTTCCACTAACAGTTTCCTCATATATTTATGCATAAAAATTGAGCAAGGTTATAAGCAGACTTCATTTTTCTATTAAGTAATCTGTAGATTTATCTTAGAGTATATACAAGTGCTTTATATTAAAACGTCTGTCAAAAATGGAATGTAATATGCAGTCTATGAAGAGAAGCTTACAGTGATACACTAAAAAGTGAACCTTCTACGGTGTATATTTTTAGCCGGCTAAAGTTACGAACTAAAGATACTCGAAAAAAAGCCTGGAAAACTGGGATACAACAGCGCTTAATGCTGGAAGAGAATATAAACACGATAGAGTCTGCAGTACTTATCAGGGTTAAAAGAAACTATAACAGGTAAATCTCCTGTCTAGTATCACTGATATAAGAATAGAACTTGGACAGCATGATAAAGTATGATTCCATTATGCAAAAATTTATTTGGGAATGATTTACAGTTTGACTGGACACTAACTAACGTCATGCGTCTAGTCTTTTGTTCGCTACTGGCTGAATTCTACTAGTCAAGTTTACAAGGTGACCAGCATGCTATTTAGTTCCCGATCAAAGTATCTAATTCAGTCCTACAGGATGTCAATCGCGAGCCTAAATAGATCAGTGGTAACGTCTCTGACTGCAACAACGGGTGACATAAGTTCTAATTTCAGAAGGGACATGAATTTCTGACTGGGAGTGCCAACAAGTCCGAAACTTAGGTCAAGCAAGACTTCCTACCGATTGCCTCCAACCATTTAAAGTTTCACTGTGTTCAGTAAATATTACTGTATAACACTGTGAAACTCCTGTCTATTAATTCGTCGTGTGCCTTCTTGTTCAGCTGTAACGTACCAGGCACATCAGTTTTATAATTTCTAATAGATACAAATACCAGTAAATACTTTTAAACCTAATTTCTATTCTCCCATTTTATGAGTCAGTATTATTTACATTATGAACTGCTTTTGAAAAAAAGATTTTATTTTGATTTCATAATACCTGATGTAAGATAATGAGATTTGGATAACACTGAAATACAATACTACTGATGAAATAATTCAGTAGTGACAGTGTTCAAACACAAGTTAGATGCTAATGCTTACTGCCATAGTAAATCTTAAATTCACTCATAATAGCTTATCATTGGTAAATATTACTGACAACTTCAGTAATAAAAATGTCTCGAATCCAATTGAATTGTGCTCGCATATTGTCTCAGTTATAGCTTGAAAGTCGATCATCTCTCGCGATTCAATAAGTACAAGATTAATTTGCCTGTAAAGTGTCAATGTTCAATGATCAACTAAATATATTTTGTTTTTGTTTTACTGTAACTGATTTATTATGGTTAAGCTATTAGATAAAGTAGAAAAAGCTTTCCACAAGTAACCTGGACAATATTTCTAAGGACTGCGAGATGTTACCTGAAACAGTATAAAAAGTCAAGTTCAGCTGCATTCAACAAATCCAAGAATACTCAAATTGAAAATATCCTGCTAAAGAAAAAGAATTCAACATTGAAATGGTGTCGATAAAAGAAAGTGGACAATTAATCTCTCAACAAGAGCCTTAAGTTCTGATGAAATAAAAGTACTTGATTAAACTTCATTGTAGCTGTCAACAGATTAAAACCTGAAGGCGTCATTCCTAGTTAGAGGTAGCATTAAGTGAAATAGACAAAATCACCGAGGAACAAGTCAGAGCACAATATGCCTTGATAGTAAAACACCAGAAGAAACGAAGAAGCAACTTAACTTGGACAATCGTAAGATAAGATACGATTGATAAAATTGCCAGGAATAAAATTCTAAGAACAATGACATATTATGAAGTGAAATCCCCTCTATTATGAAAAATAATTCTAAGATTTTCTGGAATTCATACTGTGATGTATATGTGTTCACTAACTTTGTTTCTGTGCTTCTGTGGCACAGTGGTAGAACGCTTGCCAACAACGCATGTGGTCCGGGGTTCGACTCCCGTCCACAGACGCACTCATTTGCCTCACTAAACCAGTAATAAGACTAGTAAAGAGGGAAGGTTGGACATGAGGCTAGCAACCCCTCCCCCATCCCGTATAAATAAACACCACTGCTACCGAAACTTCAAGCCTCTAGCTTGAAGGCACCCTATGTTCCACTGGGAACGTAAAGGAATAAAAACAACTGTGTTTCTACATAGTGTATAAGATGCCGATATGGATATAGACCTCAGACTTATTTTATTAGGCAAGTTATGTACATTATTACTACCGATTAATTGGAATCAAACGTCTTGAAAACTGAATTTGAATAGATAAATGAAATATTTCTATTCTGAAAAATCTGTAACTAAAATATCCACAATAAATTTGCACTATTTGCTAGACTTACAAAGTATTCGGTAGTAAATGTTCTTGGAAAGTTTACTTTGTGAAATGATCAGTCGAATTAGAGTTTTCATCGTGACAAGTGGTTGAAGTGTTAGGAGTGTCAGTAGGGCAAGTGGTGTCCCGCTATGTCAGCCAGCTCATTACTAGCGTAGTCGATAGACACCTGAACTCACGTGAGAAATGGTCTAAATCCATATTGTCTGACTATCAACACCTTCTTTATTCACAACTCTCCTCTTGCATCTCATCAGGTAGGACTAAAAGTCATTATAAAAGATTGTATGGTCGTACAACTAAGTACAAAAACCCAACGAAACCGTATTTGGCTCACGTTCAATGTGCTAGAGATAGTGTCAGTCGTGAAACGTACGACTAATTGTGTTATTAGCAAAATAATTAGCTCTTTTATTCTCTCATAATTGTAATCTATGGGAACATTATTTTAATTAACTTATAATTTTAGCTACTAGCATTATTATCGTACATTTGTACATTTTTGACTTTATTGTCAGTGGTAATATCAAAAAGGCTGTTATTATCATTTCTGGTTACGCATACCCTGGGATTTTAGTTCTTGCTGTTGTCGAGTAAATTAGATGCAACAGTATTGTACCAAATGCTGAGAATTTCACACTGTATCATATGTAGAACAATTAACTGAACTCATATTACACGTATTGCGTAACTATATGATTTATAGTGACGAATTATGTCGAGAGATATTCATTATAAGGAGCTATATAAATATTATGTATTTCTCCAGAGTTTCTACTAATCGTTTCAGGCCGAAGTATTTCTATTTTATCAAACACTACAAAGTGGTCGCGCTATGTCATGAATTGGTAGAAGTTAGAATTCATGGGCTGGCTATTGGATCGGGTCCCAGTGGCTTGTAACCAGAAGGTCCTGGTTCCGAACTCCCGGTGGTGTGTGCTCACTGATGAATAGTCCCAAACTGGGACGGAACAGCTCTCTGGTACTCCCTGCAGGTTTTCCATTAGTTCTCTAACTGATGTCAGCTCATGATGAAATCCTTCAACCAAAGCAAATTATTATAATAATTATTATTATTATGTTATTTCCTTATTGAACACAGATTACTTCTGTGTCAGTGGGAAAGGGCTAACAAACACAGTGGGTTAGATGAAACCCGTTTTTTTCAGCTAGACAGTATTGCTAACTCTGGTTTAAAAGAATGAGTGGTGTTCACAGCTGAGAATTCTTTCGTTTAACTTTTAAATTTTAATACAACCAGCAATGTTGACAATAGCCTGTGTTGCATTATCTATGCTAAGAAGTCACCCTGAATTGGATACACATGTGTGTACCAAGCATAATATTATAGAAGCAAAATCATCAAAATATTCGATTCTGGGTATTCTGAAAGTGTTTCAACAACTTATATAGGCCTTTAAAATAACATAAACTACTACTAAATATCACTCACCTTTGAATTTCTTGCATTAAATTAGTAGTTGTAGATGAAACATGACAATCTTGAGTTTCTTGTGTATCCTGAGATCGATTATGCTGAGGTGAGATTGTATCACCACCACCACTTCGTCCTCCACGAAATCTTAAAGCGTTACTGGAATTATTATTAGTATTGTTAGTATTATGTGTTGAATGATGATTATGATAGTGTTGATAGTGTTGATGACTTGTAGATGTATTTATTGCTCTTCCATTATTATTATTATTACTAACAGCAGTAGTAGTGGTACTTGTTGTCGTAGTAGTAGTAGTAGTATTTGCCGGTGAGGAACGTCTTCGTCTTGGCATTACTGTTAAAATTTCATAAGGGTATAAATACAATTAGAAATAGGATACTTTTCCAACAATAAGTCATTAAGGTAAACAACACTAGGAAAACTTGAATTCAACAAAAATGTGTAAGTAATATTAACTGGTCAAATGAAATGACTTTGAGTAATTGTCAATATTCGTATATTCGTATTAATGTCCAGAAAGCATCAAGGATACATTAAACAATTCCACTGAAAAGAAATATGCCAAATATATATTAATAATAATAATTGTGTAGATGTACTGATGATATAATAGGATACTGTAGGGATATATACCAAGAAATGTTCCAAATCCAATGTCAGTGAGTTAACTTGCCACGGTGACTTCGTAGTCTAATGAATATTCTGTCCAAAAATAGATCATTTCGATGTGTTGTTGTTCCTTGTTGTTTGTTATTAACCTTGACACTTTTCAAGACACCTAGACATCAATTTCTTGTTATTTACTCTTATCATTATTATTATTATTTTCATTTTGATGATTATTATTATCGTTACTATTATCCCCATACAACATTTCCGTTCGCTATTTTGCTGTTTATCTCTGAACTGTATAAGCGATTTATCAAATACCCTATCCGTCAATCATTGGATTATTATTATTCACAATTAAAATATGTATTTTTTTTATTTGAAAAAAAAATTACAAAGAAAGGGGGTAAGAAACGCGTTGTATGTTCTTTATTTCTGTGATAGAGGTGTGATCAGAAATTTCTCTTACCCTAGTCATATATATATATGTGTATTGCGTTTGGAAATGTACAACAATGTTCAATCTAATAAGCGCCTGTTTCACAGGAGCCAATCTCAACAGGTCACACCGACGCATGCTTAAATTTTCATTGGTCCAGAATAAAACTATCGGTGAGAGAGATTTCATTCTCTCTATCTCTTTACCTTACAGACATTGGTTAATAAAATTTTTGATATTTTAGAGAATATTTTATTTCACTGGCATTTATATAAACTTAATGTAAAGTGTCAATCATACAACAAAATGAACATAGGTCGCCCAACTGATCTCTCGTCTATGCATCTATGCTATTTCTCTCTCTCTCTATCTATCTCGTTCCTGTACAACTATTTTGCAAATGTGTATTTGCGTGTGTTTGTGTGTGTGTATGTGTGTGAATTCACTCATATCTAATAGGCAAGCACATTGAAAAATACAAAACACAACTTGTCTACCAGCTAGGACTGTGCATAATCAGAATATAATTTAGGGCTTGTTCAGACCTTCTATGCAAATTATTATTATTATTATTATTATTATTATTATTATTATTAATAAGCATGCAAACATATTTACAGAAAGAAAGGTATTTCATATTCAGCTGATTCATTGATACAGTGAGTGATATAGAGTAGTGTAATATTTGCACAAACAATAGAGGCGTTTACAAGTATTTAATTTTCAATGTTCAATGTACAATGTATCACTGTGATGATTGGAAATGTAAAACAAAAGTGATGAGTAACAGTGTTTTACTGCTTTCTTGGTTAACTTATTTGCCAAATTTAAATTTCTATTCGAAATGAGCACCTCTTCTCAAGTTAGCTAGGATAATAGAATCAATGCATCATTTGTCAACAAAAATAAAGGTAAACTGGGATTTCTGAAACAACTCGACGATGACATTAAATAACTGGTAAGTATGGTGGTAGTGCGTCGGTGGCACAGTAGTAGGGTGCTCGCCAACCACGCCTCATGTGGTTCGGGGTTCGATCCCCGGCCACCGACGCACTCCCTTATCTCGCTAAGCCACTAATAAGACTGGTAAAGAGGGAAGTTTGGGCATGAGGCTAGCAACCCCATCCCGTAAAAATCAACACCACTGCTACAGAAACTTCAAGCCTCTAGCTTGAAACCCTATGTTCTACTGGGAACGTAAAGGAATAAATAAAAAAAATAAAAAAAGTGTGGTAGTAATGTGGCATACTCGGTAAATATTTATCCTCACATTCAACATGGTGGAACCGGTTAGTGACAAATTCCCACTAGAACTTCAGAAAACTTCATCTTGTAGTCAGTGACTAGTGCGTTGATTTACAGGAATTTGATCGATTTTAAGATTGACCATGAAGTGGAGAACCACCACTCCATCAGAGATCAAACCCCAGACTTTCAGGCTGCATGACAAACTCATGTACCATTGAGCCACTAGGACGGAATCTAGCGACCCATCAATTCTAGCTTTTTCCAAACCAGGATATTGTGATACGCTCAACCAGTGTCTTTGATAAGTATCCACTCCACTTTGACATGATAGACCCCACCGGCTACGACTCCTCAGTACAGTGACTCAGTGGTATGCGAGTTTGGCTTGTAATCTTAGGGTGCTGGGCTCGACCTCTGGTGAGGTCATGGGCGCGTACTGATGAATAGTCCTAAACTAGGACAAAATAACCATCCAGTACTCTATGGTTTTCAGTGGTTCTCTAACTGAAGTCAGTTAGTAATCAACCTTGAAATCAGCCAAATCCCTGTAGACCAACACTTGATTAGGGCTGATAGAGAAAGACCAAGCTGAGCAGCTAGTATGAGGGCCGGTGGACAGTAATATGTTGTCAGTTCAAATGACAACTGATCATTACCTTTTGGTGAATTGATTATCTAGTTAGCATTTGAGTTTCGTGGCTCAGCTGACGGAACACCTGACTTACTAGTCAGGTGTCTATGGTTCAAATAGTGCCACGACTCAGATTTTCATTTCAGTCAGCAAACATTATATCAAATAACTATCTGCCGACTCATGGACCTATCTCAAATAGTTTTACCATTAAGCATTAGTGTATCAAGAAATTTTCTCAATACGATATGAAATTTCTTAAATTTCTTGAAAATTTTCTGCAGTATAGTAATCTGTATTAGTTCCAGTAATACAAATGCGCTGTTTACCAATTAATAGTTTTGGATAGTCAAGGGGTATCAGTAATAATCCTTGAATGACATCAGAAAATGATTTGGATATCTGAGTAGTAATCTCTCTAAGCATAACACTGATCAGTCATTATTTGAATATTTCAGGGGATACTGATCTCCTTGAGGTTTCAGATACAGTTTGCTTATGTTAAAGCCAGCTAGTAGGAATTCTAATTTTATACCATGATATCAGAATACAGTCAACTTCTATGTTAAGCGACCATGAACTAACTAATACTATCTACCTTATAATGCTATTTTCCTCGATATGAAAATAATCCCTCTTATATTTGTGACTAGACTGGTGATTCTGCAATATTCGTGGGAAACGTCTTAAAATTTTCCAATGAACCTAGTTTCCATAATTAACAACTGTCATTTTAGAGAATATAAATAAAGTCAGTAATAACTATCTAAGTCAGCAATGGAACACACGGTATTAAACGTATTTTCATCTAGAGGCAATAAAACAATGAATGCATCGTTGTGACTTGCTGATCATTAAGGGATTGTGGCTCTAAAAACTTCTCCAATCTTTCAAACTCATTTGCTTGATTTAAGGGTGATTTGACTAGAATCGACGTATATTTGATTACTGACCAACTTTATAATGAATTTCTCGAAGATAAGAAAGTTTTGAGGAAAGTGATACATTAAGTCCAGTCAGATGAAGATTATTCACCAGCGACAGCGAATGAAATTAGTGTTGTACCTCGAGTTAGCAGCAGTTGGTGATTATGATTCACTGGTTTTCAGACAAATGACTGTTTTGCTGAGTTTCTAGAGCTGTCTGTGTCTGATAACCTATGAGATGTTGGAGCACACAGTCAAGGCTTTCGAAACTCATAGTCAAGAAGCAACATAGGACCTTCAGGTTACAAGGTCTAGTTTGCTGATCATTCAGCCAATTAGGCTGGAATCCAGTGACCCGTGAATCCTAACTTTGTCAGTTCGCGATATAACTCTACCCTCAACAAATGTCTTCATGATATGTTGGATCCCACAGGTCACGACTGCTCAACAGAGCTTCAGGACATCCATTTAGTAGCCATCAGTGAGCTGGAGATTTTTATTTAGATGATGGATCTTCGTAGAGATTTGCATCAATTTCAATTGTTAGTGTTCATCAGAAAGCAACACCAGTTAGAGATCATTGAAAACCAGGGATCACTGTGGCAGTGATTTCAGTCTTATGGTATATAGCTAACTGTTCAAGGCCTATGGCTTTGAATGTTTCTATAAATAATATCAATTGACAACTAACTGTAACATGAATGTAATTGGTGGATGGTGACTAGCAGTGGAATCCAGGACAACGCACATTTCGTCCCATTTGTGACTGGTCATCTGGACGTACCTGCATTCTGCAGTGAGTGATGATGTTCCCATCGACGCTCGAACCCAGTGCCCATATAGTTTCAAACGCCAAAGCGTTATCCACTATTCAAAGCACTTCGGTCCAATCAATCGACGGGAAGATCTAAAGTTCAATCAAAATATAACATGAATGGTTTATTATTTCTGCATTAATTGAATGAACTTTTGTCTTCCTTAACAAGAGAATGGTTTATTCAAGCATAAAGGTTTTAAATTGGATAGATGGTTTTGTATGTTTCTGTGATTTTCACGAAAACAGACAAACAAACAATCAAACATGATCTTCGGTTCTGTTTGTCATACATAAATCAGAGTTGTTCAGTATGCTTTCTAACAAGATAATACTACTACTAATAAAAATAATAAATAATAATGTTTCTTTATGAAAATAAAAAATAAATATATATATAGCTATACAATTATGAAATGCGTCGAGAAATATCTAGAGTAAACAGGCACTTTACAGATATTCTAACCTACAGTTGATATATTTGACAAAACACGCTAATTTTAACCGATTCAGGAATACAAAATAAGTGGACAGTGAATGGAACAATTACTAGGTATATATATATATATATATATATATATATATATATAATATATATATATAATGTTCGTGTTCATGTCATGACACTACTATTATAAGTAATAAATTAAATCCAATTCTTAATAGTCCACAGATATTGACCAATTATCAGTAGCATATTTAATTTATGTATAAAATTTGATATGAAGATATAAATTACAGTTTTATATATAAAATGTATTGTTAAATTGGTTAAACATGTATTAACATGTTAATATTGGATAATTTCAACACAAGAAAATATTCTTTTAGAAAATGAGATATTGACTGGGTGCACTTTTATTTCTTCCCAACAGTGTGGCGTATGCTACTGAAAAGATTTATCAGTAGTGTGTATGTCAAGAGGTATTCATCGACATAAAAACATTAAATAGCAGAGAGATAGATTTGATGTCAGAGAAAGCAAATTATACAGCGTTGTGGAGATACATGGGAGACCTGAAAGGCACACAAAGAAACACACACACAATATGGAGGAAGGGGAGAAGTAGCACAACACGAGAGATTTGTGCAAATGGTGCGCTGAAGATATTATTATTTATTTTATTCCTTTACGTTCCCAGTGGAACATAGAGCTTCGAAGTTCCAGTAGTAGTGGTTTTATTTTTATGGGGTGGGGTTGCTAGCCTCATACCCAACCTTCCCTCTTTGTCTACCTCACAGGTTTAGTGAGGTGTCAAGGAATATGAACATTGAACGTTTGTTCACTGACCTTGGTAGCCATTGGCGGGCAATTCGAAGGCGCGATCGTGTTCGATCGTGTACAAGTTCGAAGAAGACGAAAGAATACGAATAAAAGTACGATATAA